TTTTTTAGCCATTTTGGCATGTATTTTTACTACATTACCCTTAAACACAATTATAATTTTACCATTTTTTTTCTTTCCTCTCAAATTCAATATTTCACAANGTGCCTGACCGGAGACGGCCGGCGGCTTTCAGGTTAGGGTTTTTTGTTGTCATGTTAAATTTTTTTATGTTGCAATATGCTCTTTGGGCGGAACTGCAACGAGCGGACTAACTATATATAATATGATGCTAGGGGTGACAGATCTGAGCTTCGACTAAGCCGTTGATTTTCAAAGCTTCGTTTAGAGGTTCTTGGCTTGGCTCGGGCGCAGCCCAGATCGGTGGAGCCAGACAACAGGCATTCCTTCGACCTTAAGCTTGAGGAATGAGGATGCTCTCGTAGACAACAGCCGTTGATAGAAAGGGTGGTTTTTGTCCATGTTCCAGAGGTATATTCGTTAACTGTGTGTACTTCCTTTATGAAATTAAGTATATGAGGTGGGAACTGGAAAGAGAAATGCTCCTTTCTCTCTTATTTTTAGTCGTTGTGGTGCTTTTATTTGAGAAGTGTGTTGATTTTCTCCCTGGTTTTTTTAAATTCTTACAGTCTTCATGAATAAAAGAATGCCTGTGGAGATGGGGAAATTTTATTCTCCTGTGTTGAAGTATTAGAAATCTTATTTTTTTTTGCCGAAAAACATTTGCGCGGTTTATTCTGTCGGTTCTTAATATGTGAAGATGTAATATCTTTTGCATACAAATATGCTGAGAAAACAATTTTTTCTATGGTTATCTCGTGCTCCATTTGTTGCATTAATAATTATATATAAAAGTAAAACTACATTTGATGATTTGGATATTGGTTGCCATGTTTATTGTAATTATGCAATTGGTCTGTTAATTGTAATTATGCAATTGGCCCCAGGTTTATATAATTGGAGGAGGTGGCACCCAGAAAGGAGCAGCTGTGATCTATGAGGTATCATCATAAGGGAATAGAACTACTTTATGATATCAAAGTGCATTGAGTATGATTCCACACACCCTCCATTAGTTCGTGGCGTTTCAAAATTTCCGTGGACTATTTTCATGCCGCACTCCTCGAATTGATGCAAAGGAATTTTTTCGTCAAGACAGGTTTAGTTTGATATTTTCTTTACTTATGTTAGTTTGACTAAATATTTCAATTGTTGCTTCGCCTTATGGAAAACATTTTTTTTCTTCTGATTTTTGGTTTTACTTGAAGGTTCATTCGCTTCTTGATAGTCTTTTTTCTTGTGTATAGGTTTGCAAGGAAAAGGGTAGAGAAGGATTTGGATGCTCAACGCAGGAAAGCCGAACTACTGAAATCACAAGCAGAGGGTTCCTTAGCTGAAAAGCTCCAGCTGGAGCTAAGGGAATATAAGGAAATTCTTAAATGCACTGTTTGCCTTGATAGAAGAAAAGAGGTATGTTTCATTTTTAAGTGGTCTCAAGAAGGTGTAATATAATATCCATGGTTCATTTTGAAGTGGTCTTAAGAAGGTGTAATATAATATCCATGGTTCGCCGTAATCTAGGAGAATCCTGTGCAGTTATATGAGAAATTAGGAAAAAATCGTTGAATCCCGTCACCGTAAGTGCCCAGTTTGTGCAGCGAGTTTCGGGGCTAATCATGTCAAACATGTATACATCTGATTAGGAAATGTACCATGAATGCTTGGGTCCTAGATGATGTTTTACATGCACAATATACTTTTTTTATCCATTCATTTTTTTAATTTTTTTCGAATGTACTAGTACAATACCCGTGTACTAGGTGGAATAAAAAGATTTGCTTTTAGGGTTGAACTTTAATACACCTTTGTGGTACTGTTTGTTTGGGATTGATTGTTAAGTGGATATTTATATTTTGGTTTTTGACGCACCTTCTTCAATATTGTGTTCAAACAAAAAATAAAAAATAAAAAATTAACGCTTTTGATTTTTGGCTTGCTTATTCATTAGCTTTGGTACTTTCAGGAGACTTTGAGAAAAGCTGAAGAGATTTTCGGGATGAATAATAAAGACCTCTACATATCATTTTAGGGGTTGTTAAACCGCAACATGCATTAGGAAGTGCATTACAAGTGAAGTTTGTGCTTCAGTCTCTAGGTTATGAGGTTTCCTGTAGAGTGACTCGGTGTACGCTTCATTATTTGACCTTTAAACATGGATATGTGAACACTGTTGATTGATATTTTGTTTTAAGAAATGGTTGATTTTAGAAATTCCTTGCAAAAAATATTCAAAATTTGTGCAAAGTTCTATTGTTGGGACTTTAGATGGCACTAATGTATGGTACCTATGTAAATAATGACATTTGTTGTAGTGTCATCTTTTGTTGTTGCTACAAACATAATGCCTTTATATTAACCTTTCAAATGGGTACATCAATCACCATCATAGGGCGACAACAATTAGTGAATTCGTTGGAAGTATGTAAGGCAATGAATGCGTATATGAACACAACATTGTCATTTGTCTCATAGCATGTGGTGTTTCTAGGATTTCCTCTCATCAACATATGAAAATATCCAGACAAAAGTTCCTAAGATTTATTATGATCCTTGTAAACGAAGTCATACGCGACATTATGAGACTTTTGTGCTTTATTGTATTTGACTTGGTGTACTATTATCACGCTCCTGGTCACTCATTATATACCTCTAGGGGCTGAGCGACTGAGGTCGAGCATACATGTATGATTGTTGAATTTACATATTTTCCAATTGACATATTTTTGACATGACAATGTAAAAAAAGAACATGTCTTATACATGCGTCAATGTCTTACATAATAAAACAAATAAAATTTGAACCAGAACCAACTTCTTGGATTGATTTCTGGGTCCATAAATGATTCAAAATTCGTTTTTGGGATTCAAAAAATGATTCAAAAATCGTTTTTGGGATTTCTGAGATTTCTGGGGACCAGAAATCGTTTCTTGTTCCAGAAACCATTTCTGGGATTTCTGGCGTTTCTGGGACCAGAAACGATTTCTGCGACCAGAAATCATTTCTTGAATTTCTGGGACGGAAATCGATTTCTGGTCCCAAAAATCGTTTTTCGGATTTTTGGGATTTCTGGGGTCCATAAACGATTTCTGTGCTCCAGAAATGATCCAGAAACGATTTCTGCGACCAGTAATTAATTCTGGGATTTCTGGCATTTCTGGGACCAGAAACGATTTCTGGGGTCCAGAAACGATTTCTGCGACCATAAATCATTTCTTGAATTTCTGGGACCGAAAATCGATTTCCGGTCCCAGAAATCGTTTTTCGAATTTTTAGGATTTCTGGGGTCCATAAACGATTTCTGGGCTCCAGAAATGGTCCATAAACGATTTCTGCGACCAGAAATCATTTCTTGGATTTCTGGAACCAGAAACGATTTCTGGGGTCCAGAAATCAATTTCCGGTCCCAGAAATCGTTTTTCGGATTTTTGGGATTTCTGGAGTCCAGAAATTATTTCTGGGCTCCAGAAATGATCATTTCTGAAGCCCAGAAATCGTTTCTGGAGCCCAGAAACGATCATTTCTGGAGCCCAGAAACGATTTCTGGACCCCAGAAATTGACGATTTCTAATTTTTTTTTTAAGAAAAATAGATAGTAAGGGTATTTTGGTATTTTTAGGTGCCAAAATGGCTAAAAAAGATGTTTTTCCAACAACATGGCTAAAATTTATGTTTTACATTTTTACTTGGCTAAAAAAAAAATTCACTGTTTGCAAACAATTTAATTTTAAGGCAATTAAATGGTGACAAATGTTAAATCTATATCAAATCAATTTAACACTTTTTGTAATTTATTTAGGAAATTAATTGAATTTTAATTCTTAAATAAAATAGTTAATTATTGATTATTTAATATATTAATTAAAGAATGCTACATGTATATTTTAAAGGCTAAAATGTAACACGTCATTTTTTTTGGTGAATATAATAAATAATTATCATTAAAGAGATAAATATTAAAAATTGATGTATTTCTCTCTTTAAAATAATTGCTAAGGAGATAAATATTGGAAATTCATATGAAATTGATGTATTTTTTTCTAAGAATCTCTCTCCTACACATATAAATAGGACTCCCTTATGATCCCAAGACATTTTTTAAGATTCGAAGCAAATTCAAGCGCGTTCAAACTCAAGATTGACGTTTAACCCAAAAATAAGCTGTCAAGCCTCCGAAACGTTATCAAAGTCAAGGCCGGCGTATAGAAGATCCAAGATCGACCTTCGGCGAAACCAAGAACTCGTACTCTTCACGTTCTTGTGAAATTTATAGCGTTCGATTCGAGATCAAGCTATCAAGCCTTCAAAGAAATATTATTTAAGTTCAAACTAAAGACTGACGGAGATTATCTGAAGATTCGTCTCTAAAAGTATCAAATCGACTTGAAGTTGTTCTTGAATAAATTAATCAGATTAAAAACAGAGATTTGTAATTCATTGTATTTGATTTGATATGTTGAAAATCAATTTAAAAACTCAAATCCACTTGAAGTTGTTCTTGAATAAATTAATCAAAGAAAAATAAATATATTTCATTTAATTGTCTGATGTGGTCGTGTTTATTAATATAAGAATATGAAATTTGTATACAATTATATTAATAATATTGAAAATAGTATTAGATTTTGAATTAAAAACAAGTTTGATTTTAAATAAAAAAAAAATCGGTGAAAAGTAATTGTAAATTATTTGGATTCTTTTTTTTTTTTTAAGTTTTTTGCTT